TTCCACTTCCAAGGAAGCCAGCAGCGCTCAACTCCTCAATCTAACACAGGGAGGCACTCACATCTTTAGGTGATGCTGTGGCGCGGCAGACATTGGGTGGATCTCGGGCCAATCGTACATCACATACGGTCATCTAGCAATTTGCGCGAATATGTGCGCCACCTCTCGTTGGAGTGAAAAATGGGTGTGTCTGTTACAAAGAGGTGGTATTTGAAGGTATTGTGCAATACCGTACGTACTACTACACACACACACACACACACACACACACACACACACACACACACACACACACACACACACACACACACACACACACACGCACACACACACACACACACCAACCCCCTACACCTCCCCCTTGCATCACTGCGTGACCAGGTGCGCGGCGGGATGCCGACGGTTACTACTGGATCACGGGGCGCATCGATGACGTCATCAACGTGTCCGGCCACCGCCTGGGCACCGCGGAGCTGGAGAGCGCGCTGGCGCAACACGAGGCCGTGGTGGAGGCCGCCGTCGTCGGCTACCCGCACGAGATCAAGGTGTGGTGGTGATTGGTGGTGGCGTGATGTCGATTGGGGATTGGGGATTGGGGTGTGGTGATGGGGTGTGGTGGAGATGGGGGGTGGACAGGAGACGGGTGTTGGCATTGTCGTGTGGAGCACACGCATGCAACTCGAAACCACACACACACACACACCTGTGCAGGGCGAAGGCATCTACTGCTATGTGGTGCTGAACCCCGGGTTTGAGTTCGGCCCGCAGCTTGTGAAGGAGCTCAAGCAGCACGTGCGCCAACACATTGGACCCTTTGCACAGCCAGACCTCATCCAGTACGCACCCGGCCTCCCAAAGACCCGATCCGGTGCGAAAGTCATTTATTTGTTTTTGTTTGTTTGTTTGTTTGTTTGTTTGTTTGTTTGTTTGTTTGTTTGTTTGTTTGTTTGTTTGTTTGTTTGTTTGTTTGTTTGTTTGTTTGTTTGTTTGTTTGTTTGTTTGTTTGTTTGTTTGTTTGTTGGTTGGTTTGTTTGTTTGTTTGTTTGTGTGTGTGCGTGTGCGCGTGCGTGTGTGACGATTTGCGTCTCTGTCTGTCTGTCTGTCTGTCTTTCTGTCTGTCTGTCTGTCTGTCTGTCTGTCTGTATGTCTGTCTGTCTGTATGTCTGTCTGTCTGCGTATTGGAAGGTGAACCACGCTCATACAGCCTGATCTGCATAATTCCCTCCCCAACTTTTCTGCTTTTCCTCATCCCTCAACCCCTCCCAACCACCACCACCACCCATCACCCGCCACCCGCCACCACCCATCAGGCAAGGTGATGCGTCGTATCCTGCGCAAGATTGCCAGCAAGGAGGAGAGCTCACTCGGCGACACGTCTACGCTCGCCGACCCCTCCGTTGTCGACGCCATCATCGAGAACCGCGTCCACTAGTCACCAACACGGGGTGGAATGCCACGAAGGAAGAGGGGCAAAGAGCTGCTGCAACAGCTGCTGTTGTTGGTGGTGTTGTGTGGTACATGCGACTGCCTGCGTTTCCTTCGTTGTGCTTGTCGTTGTGTGCTGTTGTCTTCTTGTGCACCTTTTTTCCCGTGCTGTCGCGTTGTTGCTTTCTTACATGCTTGAGTTGCGTGCTGTAGCTGGTAGACCATCATCGTGCGTGGGTGTGGTTTGTGGTTGCATCGTGAGCGACGTGGTGCATGGTGCATTCATTGTGCGTGACGTCGCGACTGTCGACTGAGACGTTGTTTCTGTTGCTGCGGTTTAGAATGAACGGAACCACGACCCGAAAGAGCATCAAGAGTCACGAGAGCATCAAACCAAACACAAAGACAATGTGCAGATGAAGAGCACAGCACGCCGTAGACTGACACGTGCATCAGTTCCACACAAGCAATGGCACGGTGAAAATGGTGAGGTGCTCCGCTGGTGTGCAGCAGTGGTGTGAATGCACGTCATGACATGTAACAAATCAAGTCACAGCATGAACTGAAAGATAGAGTAAATTAACCTGAGCAGAGTACACGATACATCAGTAGCATGGCTGCACAAGGAAAATGCAAAAATCATGGGTTCTCCTAGTTCACAAAGGTCAATGCGAGCAGGGTTTCGAGTATCATTTGCCAACGAAGGCACGAATTCAAATACGTTGGGAAAAGGGCACACAAGCAGGCCCGTTTTCTCATTTCCAACGTGTGAGTTTCATTATTGTCGCTGTGGTATCTTCGTCATTCCATTACTGCTTGCCTCTGCCGTGGGCGGCCTGTCCCCAAACCTGCGACTGTGGGGGTAGGCCTTGTTGCTCAGGGCCACCATCTCGGCGCCCTTGCGGCTGTGGCTGCAGTCGCTGGTGCGGCTGCTGCTGGTGGTAGTGCTGTTGCTCTTGTTGGTGGTGTTGAGGCTCGCCAGCGCCAGTGATCGGAGGGCCTCCGCTACGCGTGCGTTGGGCCGGTGCAGGCACAGCGTTGGGTTGAAGCGTCGGGGGAAGCGGCGTTGGCGCGTGTTGCGCTGTGCCCTCATGCGTGTCTGCTTCTTGCTGGAGGCTTTGAGTCTCCCGTGCCTGTTGGGCCGGTGATGGCTGAGGCCCGCGCTGCTCTTCCTCGTCCGTGATGCCGTCCTCGATGCGGCTGAAGCAACCTGTGGAGAATGAAGCGTAGAGGAGGAAGGGGTTGGTGGAAACCCATGTTTGCGGTGAGCGAAAAGTAACAGAGCGCAGGAGTGCCTCATTCATGCACAGGGCCGAGGGCTCTTCTTGCTTGCCTGCAGGCAACAAAAAATCACCCACACAGACACACACACAAACACAAACACAAACACACACACACACACACACACACACACACACACACAACACACACACAACACACACACACACTCACACACACACATACACACATACACACACACTAACATACACGCACG